TTACTTTTTATATGAGCAGCTTTTCTTTAATGAAACTGAAGCGTTTGTGTATCTTTAAAGTATATTTTTGACATTCAAATTCCATATCTCTAGGTTTCAGGGTTAGGGTAAACAGCTCTGTTTGCCAACTGTATAGTTTAAACACCTGCATAAGACATTAATATAAATCCTTATGTATGTAAACAGGTTGCATAGTACTGCAGTGTAGTGTTTAATGATCTGATGAGACATCAAGCAGAATGATGTGATTTGTATGGAGCTGCTAAATTTCAGAGCCTGTGAACACAGAATTCAGTGCTTATCACTGTGTTGTTTATTTTTCTTCCTGTACAGACTTTTAACACAACCAATGTCACTAAACTGTGTCCAGGTGCTCAGTGTACTTTTGCTTTTTATGGAGGAGAAAGCCTGTACCATAAGTACATCTTCATCTTCCAGTTAGCCAATGCCTTTGTCTTTCTCTGGCTGGTGAACTTTGCAATTGCATTGGGTCAGTGTACCCTTGCTGGTGCCTTTGCCTCCTATTACTGGGCCTCTCGAAAACCAGCTGATATTCCACTATGGCCACTCTTCTCTTCATTCGGACGAGCAATACGGTAAGACTGTGGGGCTGGATGTGAGCCCTCTCACATATCGAGCAAGTGCACGTTTTACATGTAGGAAAGCCAGACTTGGAACATCAAAGGAAAATGATGAGTCAGCACTGTGCTTTCCTCTCAGTGGGCAGCCACGTGCCACCTAACCGCTCACTCCCTCCACACAGTGAGACAGGGAAGAGAATCAGAAAGGTGAGAGTGTGAGAATACATGGGCTGAGATACGGAGCATTCAGTAGGTAAAGCAGAGCTGTGTGCCCAAGCAAAGCACAATGTGGAATCCATTCACCACTTTGCACTGGCAGGCAGGTGTTCAGCCATCCCCAGGGCAGCACGGCTCCAACACGTGTTCCAGTGACTTGGAGGACAAGCACCATCACTCCAAATGCGTGTGTCCCCCCCTTCCTTCTTCTTCCCCCAGCTGTTACTGTTGAGCATGCCATATGGTGTGGGATATCCCTTTGGTCAGCTGGGGTCAGCTGTCCTGACTGTGTCATAGAATCATGTAGAATCGCAGAATCATGGAACAGTTTGGGTTGGAAGGGACCTTAAAGCTCATCCAGCTCCACCCCCTGCCACAGGCAGGGACACCTTCCACTAGAGCAGCTTGCTCCAAGATGGCCTGGGGACACCGCCAGGGATGGGACATAGCAGGGGTGAGTTTGGCCCCTCCAAACTCCTCGTGCACCCCCAGTGCGCTTGCTGGGGTGAGGAGCAGGAAAGGCCTTGATACTGTGTAAGCGCTGCTCAGCAGTGGCTAAAGCATCCCTTTGTTATCGACACTTGTTTTCATCACAAGTCCAAAGCATAGTATTGTACAAGCTACTGTGAAGAAATCTAACTCTCTTCCATTCAAACCCAGTCCAGTCAGGAAAATGTAGTTGTTAGGGGGAAGCTGAATCCTGTAGCCCAACAGCAGCAAGGCTGCTGCAGCTCCATGCCCCTGGCTCCAGCCACGTAGAAGGCTGAGCAGGTATTCCCAGTAGGCACACACACCCAAATACATGTATGCAACACATGTATACACAGCTGGTCACACAGACAGACACAGCACTCAAACACCAAAAACACCGATGGCTTCATCCTGTTCCTCTCTCTTGTGGATCAGGGTAATTGTCCATTAGTATGTGTAATTCCCACTAATAGGCCTTCCTCCAGTTATAATTTTATTTCTACGTATACACATACACGCACATACATGTATAACTGTAAATATGTACATATGTGCAATGTAACAGTCATTTATTTTGTTTTAGATACCATACAGGTTCGCTGGCATTTGGAGCCTTAATTCTTGCAATTGTCCAGCTTATTCGAGTAATACTGGAGTACTTGGATCACAAACTGAAAGGTGAGATTTATGAATCTAGCCTAGCTTATCAAGGCCTCCTCTGGTAAATCCCTTCCTTCCTCTCCCAAGATGTTTTTCGTTAATGAAAAGAGAGCTTTAGCTGTTGTGGTTGCATTTGAAGCCAGTGAATATATGCTGATTTACTCAAATTGAGGCTGTGTCCTTGGGAACCTAATGCAAAGTTTGCATGGGGGATGTGGATCTGCTCTAATTGAAAGCTACTGAGTTAAATTTGGTCGAGAAAGAGAGTCCGTACCTAGAAGAAAAGAAGTAATGTTTCTGCTTTTGTCATAATGTAAGATTTTCTTATGAATACCTTTCCATGTTCTGAGAAAGACACTTCAGGAGCTCTGTGTATGAAGTACTCTCCTCTTTTCCAGGTACACAGAACTCCTTCACTAGATTCCTACTCTGCTGCCTCAAATGCTGTTTCTGGTGTTTGGAAAAATTCTTAAAATTTATAAACAGAAATGCCTACATCATGGTATGTGCTGTCTCTGCAGGTGGTCTCCCTGTCTGGGGCACTAAAATACCCTAGCCACTCCTAATGGCTCAGCAGCCAGTGGTACTAGAATCTGCTGGAAAAGTAATGGGATTTATAAGAGTTGTCAGGAATGCATGAGGTCCTACCATGGAAAAGATTTTTTGTTTTCCCTGAGTCTAAACTCAGCTTCTTTTGGTGCGTGTCCTCATCCATCACCCTCACCCCCAAAGTAAGTGGGAGGAGATGGCATATAACTGGTTAACTCCCATCTGAGTCAGCAATTGAAATCCTGATTTGAACAGGAATATGAGCTCATTTCATATGGCATGTTGATGACACTTCTGTTTGGAGGCAGTGTTTGTGTAAGGCATGTGGTATCTGTACTTCCTCCTGGAAGTTAAAAGCACAAATTCTACCAGCAGCAGTAGTGCTATTTCTCTAAAATAACCATTCTTAGCTTCCAGAAGAGAACTTCCAGATTTTCATCTAAATAAATACACACAGATGTCAGCCTAGGATGCTCTGACTGGAAGCAATTTCATTGTTTGAATGCTACAGTCCCGGCTTGTTATCTCAAAAGAGATGGCTGGAATGGGTCCATTATAACCCATGTTCATGCAATTGGTGTTAGAAATTAATGCCATCTGGAAGAGGAAGTATTCTTGTTGACTATCTTGTTTACAGTTGATGAACTGAATGCACTGAGAGCTGTTCTAGTATATCCCACCCTGGCAGATGCTATTCCAGGAAGAAGAAAAGGTTGTGTTCCTGAATAGCTTTAGCTGCTTTACTTTATGCTGATGTAAATCCACTTTGATACTGGTATTTCTGATTCTTATTAAGTGAGAGCAGCATCAGGCCCAAGGAGAGACCTACAAGGGTCGACTCACTTCTGCTCTACAAGTGCCTGTTCTTTCCACTGACTATAATCTAGTGCAGGTAGCAAGCGATGTGAGAATCCCTCAGCAAGTACCTTATTTGCTCGACTTGGCAAACTCAGTACTGTGTCTCCTGCCTGCCAGATCGCTGGGGTAGCACACTCATCACCAGGTCATTTGAAGGGGAAAGATGGATAATACTCTGTCCCAACCTGGTGGGAGCATTGAGAGGTAGTGGGTGACCGGGGGAAGTGCTTTATGTTCACCTGCATCCCAGTGCATGTACCAGAACCGTGCTTTGGAAGATGCTGGCACACGAGGGGGGATCCTCATTATTTGAATACTGAACAGCTGCCGCTTTTTGCAGATTGCCATCTACGGTAAAAACTTCTGCACCTCGGCGAAGGAAGCGTTCTTTCTGCTCATGCGGAACGTGGTGAGGTAAGGGGCCACCCTCCAGGACTTGGAATGTCAGGATTTCCTGCTGTCACGCTCTGAAGACAGACTTCTGTCCTCTCCCATTATTGGAAGATGCTTCTGTCCTCAGACATGGCCAGCAGGCTCTCCAGCACAGCAACCTGTGCAAAGCTGATGGAATCCAACAGTTTTGTTGTGATTTGCTCTTTCAAATTCATAAGCATCCAGTATAGATTCCTCCAAGGAACCAATGGAGCCCTTGATAGGAGACCTGCAGATATACAGGAATGGGGTGCTCATCATCTGCCATATGTGTGTTTCTTGAGCTTTGGCCCACTCACTGTCTGTGAAAAAGGAAAGCAGAATCTTCAGAGTGAACCAGAAAGCTTATGGGGTGTCAGGGAGTGGAAGAAAAGAAGAGAGTACTTTGCTTTCCAGACCAGTATCTGTAACATACCCACATATCCCCTAGTGCTGGGAACTCCCCTGGCCCTTTTCCCTACTGTGAAGACTGCTGCCAAGCTCCCTGTTCTCATCAGTACTTTTCCTCATCGCTCCCGGCTCTTCCTGTACTACTGTGAGATCAGAAAATAGTGGAAGAATAACTTAGGGGCAGGTAGTGTTGATACAATAGCAGGCAGCCTGATTGCCAGGCAAGAGACACAATAAAACTGGTTAGGTGATTCAAATTAAGTGAAGGACTGAGAGGTGGAGATGAATGGAGAGGGAGGCTGAAATAGGAAAATGAAAATGATGCTTAAGAAACTAGGGTGAAGAATTGGAGATGGGAGAATGGAGTGCATTCACTCCATTACCCCACAGTAATAGTGGCACGGGGTGCCCACGCTTGTGCAGTAAGGCAGAGAAGCTGCCTTCATGTGCTTTCCTAACATCACCTCACTCCCGTTTGTGGTTTTGCTCTTAATCATTAAAGCAATAGCTAAAAGCCAGGCATGTACTTTTCATTGTTTCAAACTGAGATGTTTTTGTCTTGTGTATATTGCTAATTCTGAATTCTGACAGGTTAATGATGATTTAATCTCTTTAATATTCCTTAATGTTCATCTTTCATAGTAGTCAGTGCTGTGCATTACCATATCCATAGCCTTCAGGCTGATGATACAAAGCTCATTTTCCATCCCATTATTTACCTGCAGTTTCTGGTAAGACAGGCTTGAAGTATTTCGAGCAGGAGCTCCCTGCTGTTGCTTTCAGTGAGGGCTGCAGATTTACTGTCAGTTCTGCTGTCTACCTTAATTCATCTTTCTGCTTTGAGGCCTCCTGCCTTCAGTGTTGTACCATATCTTAAAATAGTGGATTTGGCATGGTATGGGGTTGTGAAATGTGGCCAGATGGGACAAAGTAAGAAGAAGACCTACAAGCATTGCTCTCTTTTTTCGGTGTCTATTTTGCCTCTTCTAGCCTGGTTTATCTGTGACCCTAGAAGAAAGGCTGAAATAAACATAATTTGATGTTTTGTTTTGTTTTTTATCAAGAGCAGTGAATGGTCTTCAACTGCAGAATCAATATTGCTGTATTAACTCACCAAGAGGCTCAGTGCTGCTTTGCTTCCTAGGATCAGGCTGTGACAAAGCCCATCTCAGTGTTGCATTTCTGCATGGTTGTATTGTCAGCCCATGAAACCAGCAGAAGGCACCTTCTTGGTCATGTTTGTCAATTATCTGTAGATAAACTATAGATTTAAGGAGAAATAATACAAGTGTCTGGATGGTGATTGTGGGTCATTTGTTCTTTGCTGACAGAGTTGCAGTTCTGGACAAAGTTACAGACTTCCTTTTATTCCTGGGGAAAATCCTCGTTGCTGGTGGTGTAGGTAAGCTAATGGTTTCTTTCCAACATTCTGTGTTCTGGTACCTACAAGCACACCATGTTCATATGTGCTTAGTTAACAGCTGGAGGTTCTCATGGGTCTTACCAATTTGGAAGCTTTCCGATGTTTGTGGGGTTTACAGGATTGAACTAAAATGATTCTTTTCTTTTCCCCCCCTCTCCCTCTGCCCCGTGTGCTGTTAGGAGCATCTTTTCCATAACTGGAGGAAGTGGGGCAGGTCTGCAGGAAATGGGCCTGAAGCTCTTCTGTATTCAAACTCATTATAGAATCATAGAACAGTTAGGGTTGGAAGGGACCTTAAGATCATCCAGTTCCAACCCTCCTGCCATGAGCAAGAACACCTCACACTAAACCTTTATAGCTGTAAGCTATAAAGGGATGTCTTAATTATCAGTAAATATAAAAATATGTTATTCATGCTTTTCTGCAACAGAAAAGGGATTTTATTTCTTAAATGGAACACTCTCAGAAATGGGGTTGACATGTTCCCTCACCGCGTTTACAACTGTCACAGCTGCTTCAGTCATTAGTTTACAAATAACCACATTTTGTATTCTGTATACTAAAAAAGAAAAAATACTAACAAAGTCTGTTTTAATCAAAAACTGAAAATTAGTCCAAAGAGCAGGTCTGAGCTACTTTGTCATTGCTCTAGCCTGACTTTCAGCTGGGGTAGCAAATTTGATTTGAAACATGTTCTCCAAAATGTAAGCCATGGGATAGTGAAATTAATTAGTGCCTTTGTCGTCTTCAAGAATAAACTCTTTGGGTGGTCTCTGTTACAGGTACATTGGTCTGTTCTAAACCTCTCGTGCTTATCACTAACACTGCTGTTTCCCCATTTAATCTGAAGTAGCTCAGTATTTCTTCAAGCAGTAAAAGTTAAAGCAGCCAATTTTTCCTCAGTCTTTTTTATTTTACAAAAGATCCACCCATTGGCCCTTGTTATCCCATGTCATCGCCTTGTTTATCATCATGTATTAATTATGCTATTAAATCCAGTAGAATGATAAAACAATTCATTAAAATCTCTCTGGGCCCATGAATATCTTTATGGTAATTGATTCATTTACATATCTCTTCTGTCAGAATGCAGATCCAGGAGATAATTGGTGTTGAGGAATTTACTGGTTGCAAGCTCGTATTTAAACCCACCTTGGTTCTGGTGTCTGTTTTATCTCATCCACTCTTTAGGCTTAGAAAATCAGAGTCAGTACAGGAATCAGTGACCTTTTCTGCTTCTTGCAGGTGTTCTTGCGTTCTTTTTCTTCACACAGAAGATACCAGTCATTGCACAGGAAGCACCAGCGTTAAATTACTACTGGGTACCATTGTTGGTAAGGAAACTACCTACTCTCCCTGACCATTGAGAACAATTTGAAGTGTCCAGACTACTCGGGGAATAGTCTCGTAGTAGCTCCTGTTGTCACCCTCTCAGTGGCATACTGTCCACTGAGGTGAGCATTGAGCTGCAAAGGCTGGTGGTGAGGCACCAATGTCAGTGTGACTTCTAGTGGAAGGGACTTGTGATGCATCTCTTTCTCCTTTTGTAGCCACACTAGGCTCTGGGCCATCTCCAGGATGAGGGTTCTTTAGAATAAACTTGCAGGAGTTCAGAATATTCTTGGCATATATTCTCTTTGGGGATAGCAATGGCTGCAGTTTGGCAGCTGGAAAGCCAGCAGCTACTGCATGTTAGAATATAGTGTCTTGAGCCTGTGATCCCTTTCTGCAGAAGTAGTGACCTTTGGTAGAATTACAGTGGTGCCATTAAATCTTCCTAAATATGCTTAGCAGACTAGGCTTCTGACTTGTGTTACCACTGCCACACTGATGCTAAACTGAATTTGAGGGTTTATTGTGTTGGGTTTTTTTGTAGACAGTCATTATTGGCTCCTACCTAGTTGCACACGGGTTCTTCAGCGTCTATGCAATGTGTGTTGACACGCTTTTCCTCTGCTTTTGTAAGTACCATGGTTTCTTTCACTAATACCTGCAGGTGACAGGAAGAGTAGAAAACCACCTTATCCATTCCTTACAGAATTCTGGTGACATGCTATCAGACTGTGAAAAACAAACTGCTTTTCAGACTGGCTCCTTGATGTGCAGAAGTGTTTCAGTGTTCAGTTTTAATTAGTTTAAGTAATGGAAGGTAGCTGTCTGGCTCTTGGGGATATCTGGCTTTTGTTTTTCAGTCGTTCCGTAACTTTCATTAACGGGTTTTTTCTGGGTGCTTTGTAAAGAGCCCTGTACAGAAATGATTTACTTAAACCTTTTGTCAATAACAAAATTATTCTTTGGTATACATGTTTATAGAATCATAGAATAGTTAGGGTATATATGTTTCTTTTAACTTAACAGCCCTGAACAAAGTATTATGCTAAAATGTCTTCAAATTTGTGTAAAATACCATTTAACAAACTATCTGTCCCTTGGACCCACCAGTGGCAAGCCATCTTGGGCACTCTCAAAGGAACTGCTGCTGTTCAGTGTGTCCAGTCAGATAATACTGAAGTCACAAAAAAAATCTGTCTCAGATTAGGACGTGACTATAAGAAGAGGATGTACTTATTCCAAAATACATTCAATTTCCTAGATTTATAGAATTAAAGAAACAAAGATATAATTTTCCTATAATCAAAGTCATTCTGGTTGAAGTTGCATGGTAGTGATTGCTCTTGCAACTGGTGAATTACTTGATAATGCTAAGGTGATACTGATCCCCTTAGCATTAGTCATAGGCTTGACTATAGTCATAGGCTTAATCTAGCACATGCATAGTGGATCACTGAGGCACGGTAAACATGGCAATACTGATCCTCCTTTTACAATAGCATAAAGTCTTTCTTTCCTTTAAACACTCACCTTCCTAACCTTGCTTCCCAAGGAACTAAGGTTAGCAGTGATTCTGGAAATACTGGGTGACCAAAGAATCACAGGAACAAAATGAGTCAGAAAACGGAATGTTAATGTCTAGTTGAGAGCTATTTATCTTACGGACTTTGGTTCTAAACAAACATAATCACAGGCAGACATAGGACTAATAACACTCCATAAGTAAGTTACTACTGTTATTTAGAGTGAAATGGAAATGGATCAAACTAATTAAATGTATTTTTTGGTGCACTCAAATATTAGGAGTTTTCTTTTTAATTCATTCCAGAGCCGCAGGGTATATACTGCCTTGGAGATACCTGAAGATTTGCTTCCTCTAACCTCTTTGCCCAGCCCTTATATGTAGTGCTCTCTCTCTGGCCCCAGCAGGGTTGCACTTGCAATGACTGTGCTTCCCTGCACACTCCCTCCAGATTGCTCATCAGTGTGAAATAGTTCACTGGTCTGTGACTACTGAGTGGCACAATCACTGGGCTGAACCCAGTTTAGTCATGGCCTTCTTCCTTTCCCTGGGGGAAGAAAAGCAGTATGTCTGCCTCATTATTTAAAATTCATATTCTGGTTTGCTTCCTGTGCAGTAATTCAGTAATGGTAGCCGGAGATCATATAGAATTTTGTGCACTTGTGGCATCAGGTTTTCAGAAGAACTTTATCTTAGGTAGTGAGAAAGGGTCCAGTTTTAAGAAGTGCTTAGATCCTCAGCTCTCGCTGGGGCAAAATTTTAAGCCAGAAATGCCAGGCTTCTGTGGAGGCATAAATGTTTCAGAGAATTCCCACCTATACTGCCAAACCAAAGACTGGGGAATAAACTGCATATATTGCTGTCATTTAAAAATGGCTAGATGCTTGCATCTCTGCTTTGTGTAAAACCTCTTCTGGTTTGAGCAAATAGAAATTTGGTAGTGTCCTTTGTCAACAGTACAGCTGAACTGCCTTGACTGAGACTGGTTTTAATATTGGGTCTTCTTCTGCTCTCTCTTTTCTTCAATTCTGGATGTGTGTGTGGTTGAACTGCTGTCTGCTCTTCTGGCTGCTTTTGCTGTGTAAATTCAGGTGAAGACCTGGAAAGAAATGATGGATCTACAGCAAAGCCCTACTTCATGTCAGCTAGCCTTCACCGAATTCTAGGGAAGAAGGAGCTAAGCCCTAAGAAGGCAGCGGGATAACATACACTAAACTGCAACATCAAAACAGTGTCACTTTTAAGCAAAACTTGTATAAAGTAGGCAAAAGTAAAAACTGTAAATGATGCTTCTGGTTAATGGGTGATTCTTTTTTCCTTTTGCTTATATCTAAAAAAAACGAGCAACCTTGGTAACATTTAACTAGTTTAAGTGCTTAAACTAACATCTGTGAAAACAGGCCACGTTTTAGTTTATAGAGTGCCTATGAGAAGGAAAATGTAAATTTCAAGCTTTTTTAAGTCTATAATGATGTTTTAATAACTTTTGTAACACAAGTTGCTGCCTTAGATGACAGCAGTTTTGATAACGTTTCTTTTTGTAAGTGTATATTTGTAAGAGAAATTCAGGCAATTTTTTGAAAGCACTAACATAACCTAATCAGCCATAAAAGATTGTTTGAGACTCTCTAGTTACCTAGGAGATGGTACTAAATTTGTAAATATGGTGCTATGATTGTATTTTTTTGTACGAGCTGGTTCACAGCTATTTAAACTGTGATTATACATGCATTAATGATTCCCTACACTGAAAAATGTAGTGATATTTTAATCACATCCACATCTGCGTCTTTTATGAAATGGTGGTACCCTGCAGGTCCCAAAGAAGGTGGTCAGAGAAGACTATACCTGGTCCTGCTTAAAGTGAGGTTTTCTGTGAGTTGTGCTTGAAAGACGATTTAATCAAGAGAAGGTCCCACTGCACTCAATTTGTGGTTTCACAAAAGAAGTTTCATCTGGTACAAGATGGTGAATGTATCGTTTTTAGCTGATGCGTGAGAGAGATGCACTTAATATCCCCTATCTCTGATTGTGTTCTGCGTTATAAGGAGCTGAGTTGCACTGAAAGGAAAACCAAATGCAGTCTTTTTTAACTTGGAAGAAAGCCTTGGCTGCAGTTGTGAAAGGAATTCTGTTGCCACTGCCTAGCTCAGAAGGGCTCCTTAATAAGACATTGCAGTGACCGTGCGTGTCCTGAGGGCCAGGCCTGCTCCTTCAGCAGGTCTCCGGGCTCTCAGGTGCTCACACAGAAATGTGTTAAAACATTGAACTCAATTATTCTCATGATGCAGCATGAATTACTTAGATACTGAAACATGCTCCAAAAGATTTAGTTTGCTTTTTGATTATTAAATTTGCCCGGTCATTAGAACAATATCCAGTGGTAGAAAGCACATTAATATTCTGTTCCATTTAATGACCCTCCCATTAGTAGAAGTGTCACTGGGGTTAGTAGCAGCTCTGCTCATGGAAGAAGTCTTACACTGGAGTGCTTCTCAAGTCCTTTATTGCCATGAGCTGAGCTGAAAAGGTTTTCTTTTATTGGTCTCATGGGTGCCCAAGGACCCAGCCACACCGATCCTGCCCCTAGTTTTCATGGATTCCACCACAGTGGGTAAGATATTCCATTACTGTCTGCTTGCTGCAGTGGCATGTGCCATGCCTCTGCCAGACCTCTTACAGAAGTTCAACACTTGACATACTTTCCTAGCCCCAGGAGTCAGTTGGTCTCACAAAGGGAAAGGCAAATTCTTTTCCAGATGATTTGAATGCAAATTTCTGGGGAAACTTTCCTGACAATCCACATCCCAAAGTGATTTTGCTCTCTAACAACTCATGGCTCCAGTTCATGATAACTGTAAGCACTAGAAGCAGAAATACTGCTGATGTGGCCGGTGTGGGGTCCTGCTGATGCATGGTGGGTACCACCCCTGTGCTGCTGGCACGCGCACAGCAGGGTCTCAAAACCTGGTGAGCTGATGCACAAGCACAGGGTACTCACATGCATTCCCTGTGATTGGGTTGGCACTGCAGCACTTTCCCTGGAGCAGAAATGAGGGGTCTGGTTTAGGACTCAAGTAATGTAAAGGTGTACAGTTTCAAATGGAACTGCTGGTTGTGGGCACCTTCAGATTTTGAGAACCCCTCTTAGCCTAGAGTAAACCTGACTTTTGGAAAGGGCTGAAGAACCTGCCTTCAGAAAAACACAGGCTTCCAACTATGAAGTTTTGCATCATCATCATCATCATTCCTTTCTCCTTATGTGCATGGTGTTGAATATCCAACCCACACACACACACACACTTTCTAATCTCTTCTGAGAATGCAGTCAGTAGCTTTCTGGGGTCTGTGTCACCATTCTGTGATCGAAGGAGCGGCTGGTGTGATCACAGCCTGTCTGCTCAACCTTTCTTTTGAATTTTATTTTTTCCATAGCGCTGAGTGGTTAGTTTGCATTAAGGAATCTATATTTCTATTGGACCTGAGTGTCTTACTGGGAGCTCAGCTGAAAAAGCGTGTTTCTGAACACAGTGTGGTTTTTTATCATATGAATGTAACCATAGAGTTTATTAGGAATAAACCATAATAGACATAGTAGACAGTCATTTGACTAGAAGACTTTTGTAACAAGCCTATGCATTTACTAAAAGAATTTCTAAAAGTGAAAGTTTTAAATTGTATTATTATTTATATACAGTAAATATATATATGTATAAATTTGCTTCACTCACTATTTTGTGAAATCATTTAGAATGTGATCATCATTTCTGAGAAAACTTAAAAGCCATTTTCTTAATGATATAATTATGAGAACTGTGACAGTATAAAGCAATACCATGTAGATTTTGTAATCAGTAGATTCAATAAATAAATCAGAATGATTTAATACTAAGATTGGCTTTAAAAAATAAATTGCTGTTAATGAATTAAGTAGAAATTAATGCAAGTAATTACATGGGAAAGAATAACATAAAATATTTTAAGACTAACTTATTATAATGGTTCCTAGCTCATCCTGTGTGCCAGAGTCTGCAGCCTTGCACCACAGAGGAGGTCCTAGTGGTGACATTCATGGATCTGCACATGTCCTTTGTTGCTTTATTTAGTGTAAAATTGAAAATTCCATCCCTCACTTCAGAGAGTGGAATCTGTAGTAGCTGTGTCTGTAACACGGTGAATTATGTCCTGTGTGCTTTGCTCTGAGCCCATGGGAGTTGGTGACAATGTGCCCACCCATCCCATAAGGCACAGCCCTGTGGCACACGTGGCAGATGTGACAGACGTGGCACACGCTGGTGGGCGTCTGGTGCTGACAGTGCAAGAGAGGAGGTGATGCTGGGACCAAATATGTGGCAGAATCCCATTGTGCTGCTGCTGGCAAAGGGCTTGGCAGGTTCTGGTCCTTCCCGGCCCCAGGAGAAGCTTTGGGAAGGCAGAAAGCCCCATTTATGGACCCCATGAGCAAGCAGAACATAGAAACCAAGAGACAGTAGAAAGCACCTGCTATCACATCCCCGTAGTCATGTTTGGTTTAGTTCTGGTTGGGTTCATTGTGCCTCCCTAGGGTATATTAATGGATGGCTTTCATTTACACGTTTTATACCAAAGGTTTAATATCAAGCCTTCAAATTTTGTAAAAAAGGGGAAAAACCAGAAAAAAAAAAAGTAACCCCAGAAACAAAACAAAGAAATGAGAAAGATGACATCGTTTCTTATGCTGAGGTGTTTTTTAACAAGTGGTATGCAGCAGCAGATTCTCGGGTGTCCCAAGGATGCTGAATGGTCTCTTGGACGCTACTGTTTAGAAGGATGAGATACTGTAAAGTTGCATGTTCTGCTGTAGAACAGAAAACAGATTTTGGCAGGTGCAGTGTCAAGCTGGTTCTGGACAGTCAGTAAGTGTTCTTCTGCAAACGGTTGTCAGAGGAGATGGGGAAGAACAGCCTGGCTCTCCTGGGTGACGTGTAATGTCTGTCAGTCTCCTTTGGGCCTCTTGCTCAGCCTGGACAGCTGTGTCGTCTCAAAGTGCCTTACAGGCTGTTACTTCACCTGCCTTCTATTCTGAAGTTTATTCGCACCATGTAGACTACAGAACAGGAAAGGATTGGTAGGGAAAGGCGTGCTCTCCTTATATCCAATTAACTGATACGCAGTGAGCTATGGGAGAGCTGTTGGTTGTGCCTGGCTGCGGGATGCAGCTCCTGCAGTGTGGTGAAGACACGGACTGTGTGGTCCATGAGGAAACCCGTCATGGCCATGGTCAAATAATCCAATGAAACCAATGCAAGGTGTTCCGTTTTCAGTAGTACAGTCGTTTATAGCTTTAATTTATGGCATGGTGAACTCCTGAGCTGGGACCAGCGGTTCTGCTTTGAATTCCAGCGCCCATACCATTGTACCTGTTGCTGCGGGGAGAGCTGGGCTCGAGTACTGAGAGCAGGAGGGGAGAAGCCGATGCATCATCCATCCTCCACATTGCGCCTGACCATTTTCTATTCTAGAAATGTTTATAAATTATGCTAAATTTTTAAACTTTTGATACAGGTGATGATTTTGAGGTGATGTTAATTTGTACTGCGCTGTGATCCAATTGAAAAGAGAACTGTTTATTCATGTTCCAGTAACACTGGTGCTACTGATACTGTCTGTTACTCTGCTGCAGAGCATCCACATGTATTTCTCCCAAACACCGGCTTGTAAAACCACGGAAAAGGCTGTTTAAGGAGCGGGACGGAGGTCACTGTCTCGTTGATGTGGTTGTTAAATTGTCACCTTGACAAAACCAAACTGACAAGAGCACGACAGTTTGAGCTCTAAACGCTGTTGCTTCTGCTGTGGAGAAACGGGCCTGCGCTGCTGCAGTACCTTTGCTGACAGGAGCGTGTCCCTTTGTTGTTCACTGTTCTCAGCTCTTGGGGATTGTTCTAATAAAGGTTTGGATACAAACACGCGTCCCTCTGTGCTGCCGGGGACCCGCGGGCGGGCGCTGCCGGGGACCCGCGGGCGGGCGCTGCCGGGGACCGGGCTGGAGGCGGAGGGGCCGGGGCGGGCGCGGATCAGGTCGGTAGAGCCGGGCCAGGCGGTTCAGTGCCGCTGCCCGTGCCCGCAGCGAAGGCCCCGCTCTGCGGGTGTGGGAACGGGGCTGGCGGGAGGGTTAGGGTTAGGGGGAGGGCTCTGCTCGGTCCGGGTCGTTACGGGGCTGCCGGGGTCTGTTTGAGCCGTGCAGTAACAGAACACGGCGGAGGGCGGGAACCCCTTCTGAGACCTCCTCGCGCCAGAGCAGGGGCGTTTTGAATGAGCCGCAGAGCCCCAGCCTGGTTTGGGTTGAAGGGACCTTGAAGCTCCTCCAGCTCCAAGCCCTGCCGCGGGCAGGGACCCCTTCCACTGGAGCAGCTTGCTCCAAGCCCCTGTGTCCAACCTGGCCATAGAAATCTCTTTTTGGGTTTCGGAAACTCACCCCTTTCCCCCTTGTGTTCGTGTGAGCACAACGGAACTGCTGTTGCAACACCACGGGCTGACCTCACATGCTTCTCTGGCAGGGGACATGCTGCTGGTGGTGTTGCCATCACAGATGGTGCTGTAGAAGGCTGGAGGCCAGGTCCTTCTGTAACAAGTAGGGAAATAAAAGCAGGAGCTACCTGCAGCATGTGGGTCTGGCAGATGGAGAAAACCCACACCGAACCAACAACCCCCAGAACCCCAAAACCAAACAACAGCCACCAACCAAACCCAGTGCAAAAGCTTCTCAGCGGGGAGATCCATCTCTGCAAAGGGAGCCCCAGGGCAGTTATCTGGAGGCAGGACAAAGGCAGTATTTGGGCTGGAGGTCAGCAGCTAAGGCATTCGGTGTAAGTTGTTGAATGTGTGGGAGCCCTGCTTGAGAGGATGCTCCTGGCATCCGGCAGTGGTTGCAGTGAAACCTGCAGGTAATGTTCTTGTCCCAGCACAGAAAGGCTGATGCTGCCGCTGTCAGCTGGGCAAAACGGCTCAGCCTGGAGGGTTTAGATGCGGGCAAGGCTGGTCCAAGCTGAACACTGGAAGGTGAACGGTAATTGGCATCTTCAGAGGGATACTGGCTTTGTTTTACAGTGAGGCTGATGGAGGCCATGCCACCAGGAAGAGGCAGAAGTCTGGCAGAGAGCAGATGCTTGGAAGAGCTAAAAGGTGCTGCAGTTCTACAGCACATTTCATGAAAGCACTTCTTTCTTCTTCCTTTCTTTTCACATTTGATCAGACACAGATTTGGCCCATGCCGCCTGCGTGCTTTTGTTCTGTAGAGCACCACTGGAAAGCTCAGTCCTGACCATGACAATAAGCAACAGTAATAGCAAAGCACTGCTCATGTTAAAGCACAGCATCAGGGGTTGAATTCAGGGGTGATGTGAGGCCTTTCCAAATCTCTCATTGTGTACCCAGATACTGGAAGAGACGTTTGTAATATAGAAGTTATTGTAAGGGGATTTTGGAGCATAGAGAACCTTTACCATGTGTCTCATATGTACATAGTTATTTTAATTAAATGTGGATTATTTTTTTAAGCTACATCAGTATCTGCTCTTAACACACATGGCCTGTTGGAACTGACTGCCGCTATTCATTATATTGTTCTTCAGAACGTCAGGCTTACTAGCAAAATTCCTTTCTTGCCTCCTTTTAAGTATGTTTTCAGACTGATGTGTTTTATATCTCACATGGTTTTCCTGCCATTCCTATTACTTTTAAATCTAACACTTGGCTGCATGCCATAGAACCTTTAATCCAGCCCCAGGTGAGTTCTGGGGAGGAGAGGACACCTTGCATCCCACATGGTGCTGCAGTGGTGCTGGGACAGAGCAGTGGTGTGCCCTGTCTGAAGAAGGAGGCTATGAGGTAACTGATCTGCACTAGTGAAACAGACCCTGGCCGTAAATACAGGATGAAGATGTTTCTGCTTGTGTGTGCGGGTTTGATGTGTACTGCTGGCTGTGTCCTTGCTGCTTCACTTTGCAGATGAACGTTGCTGTCGGTGCATTCTCTCCTGGGACCTGGCATGCTGCTCTGCAGATCCGCACATCTGCAGATGGCTTGGGGAGGGAAAGGAAGGGATTGTTTTATACAGAGCTTCAGAATGCAGTTTCTGGTTGCCATCACTTTCAACACATCTGACCGACTCAATTTCCTGTCTTGAATCAACTTTCATTTCATTAAGTCCCAAGTTTTCATTTCTGTTGGTTGTCTGGGCGAGATATTTTCATTCTGGAGCCTGAAAGAGCCCAAGTTTGGAAAGGAATCAGTGTAGTCTCAGGAGAAGGCTACGTGCTCACATGCTTAATCTGCTCCAAATGATCATGTCAAAAGTGGGGTTTGCAGTTTGGTCTTATTTCTTTTCTGTTTCGTTAGTTTGTGCAGTTCCAGTTCCTTGAGCAATACGAAGTGCTTGAAGAGCACCATCCCACTGGTATGGTTAACTCATGGTTAATCACAGTCTAACACTCAGCTGTAGTGGTTTGGGGTCACTGGAGCTTTAACAAGTCAATGTTATATGTTTGACTTTAATATTTAGTGGCTTTTGTGTCCAGTGGTGGCCACTCTTCCTGAACTGATGTCATGACCAGAAACATGTAACTCAATGTGCAGAATGTTTTAGCATCCTCGCCCACTGCCAAGGTGCCTGTACAAATTCCTGCAGAGACACTGAAGATCAGGATGTGTATTGAATGGTAACACTTCTCTGAGTTAAACTGTGCATAACATACATGCACGTGTTGTTTTGTGTTTTAAAATCGTATTTGGGGTAAGTGCCATGTATCCATGGATCCATGTCACAGGAATTTCTGCTGATTGTTTCTGAAAGTAGTAAAAAAGGTGGTTGTCAGTTGTTCCCGCGTTCAGTGAATTACAGTTCACAGCCTATTTGAATGATACTTTTACAGTTAGCTGTCTCAGATAACCTGCTAGCTCCCATAAAAACCCAAGCATTCCCTTGTGCGATTTTTCTCTGTGGAGTAGCTGTCTTTCAAATGCAATACCTTATTTTTAAGACAAGGAAATGTGTAACTTTTATCTGCCAGTGCCCTGTTACTTGTTCTAAGTTCCCTGTGTTCCAGCAATGAACTTTATTTGCAGGAGGTCCGGATCAGGAGACAGCCTTCTCCCGTGAGGTCAGCTTGGGATGGCCGCTGTTGTAGGATATCACTGGGGGGCAGGAGGGCTTTAAGAGATAATTCCAAATGGGAACCCCGCAGGCCAGGAATGTCGGGGAGAGCTGACGCAGAGCCGTGTGTGCCCAGCAGGGTGAAGCTGGCGGTGAGCGGGGTGTGGAGGGTTGTGCGAGGGGAGGAATGTGCAGTTCTCAGGCAGAGCAGGAAGGTGCGAGGTCTTTTCACAGGATTTCTGTTCATTTGCTGCTTGTTTGTGTGGGGAAAAGAGAAACTCGCGAGAGCAGAAGAGCAAAGATGAGCACTGGAAGGGAGACAAATGATGGATGGAGAGTCAAACGCTTGATTGCGGTGAGGCCACCGGTGCTGCTGCCCCTGGTGATGATGAGATGCTGTAGACCTCATGGGTCTCACATCACACTTCAAGAGTCAGTTCTTACTGCATTGTTCTATTTTTTAACCTAAGGGCTGCACAGCTATGGGGAACAGATGAAGTGAGCACGCTTTAAAGCACAAACCAAATGGAAAGAGAAAACTCACACATATAAAATGCTTTTTAAAGCATTTTTTGAAGAAAGACTGGTCTGAGCTATACCCTGAATTATTTTTTTCCCTGATGATAGATTTTACAATGGTCAATACCTGTTTGCTGGTACATCCTGGTACAGTCCCTTCTGAGGATGTAAATACCCTCTTACAGCAGTGATGTGCTGATTAGCTTTTTGTCATCTTAATGTCTGCATGAATAATTGCTTCCACATAAGAACATTATGTACTGAGATCAGAGCAGTCACCATGGAGCGCAGCTGTGCTGGAGCAGGTAGCACAACACAAAGAGGCAAAGTCTTTGTTCTGTTGGGTGCTTCAAAAGCAAGTTCCCAGAAGTTGCTTTTTTGCACACAGAGAAGTCACCAAAACCTTCTGCACATTTCTATTAATATAAAATGGGAAAGAAAATGAATGGGAGCAGGAAAATGTGCATCTTTATAGAGCAGTGTTTAAAGTGGACTTTGTGGGATTTGGGGGGGAGACCTTTTTCTTGCAGAAGTAGTACTGTCTCCTCATTTGTTTTGTTCTGGTTTGAGCCACTTTATCAAGGTTGCTCTCTACAGATTTTTTTTTCCCACTGCTTGCTTTGCTGAGTTCAGGCCTTTCAAACTGAGAGAGCAGAACACTCGCTGACCAGGATACTTGCAGAGGAAGCCCAGGGGATGTGACTGGTCTGCAGGCTCCCTGACATAGCTTAGGGAGTATTATTTTTCTCCCCTAGCCCTGGTCCTCCTCCTGAAGTAAGCTGCAATTCTCTCATGCTGGAAGTACCTCTCATATCAGTAGACTGACTATGGGTGTCCTCATCAGGTTGATCTAGAGTTTCTAATGAGAAGGGAGGGAGAGACAGTCTGTGATGCTCCAGCAGCCTGGTGAGAGAAAGCTGCTAAAGCTGAGACAACTTCTGTTGTGTCCCCTCATTTGATGACAGTGAGACAGCAGGTCAGGTGTCAGCACTGATTCTAAAATCACTGTCATATCTTTCATCTCAGGGGAGTATATCTGGAAAATAGAGGGCACAGTGCGCAGACTTATGTTGCTAGCAAAAAACCTAACTGCCAGACACTTCATCCCTCAAATCCAGGATGTTCTGAATAGACAAAGAATGGATTTTTGTTCTAGAGCCAGTTTACACTTGAAACCCCCTGACCTTACAACCCTTACTGCTCCTCAGAAGCTGTATGGCTGGGCTGGACTCGCAGGCACGTTAACAAATATGTGGTCTCCTTGGTGCACCTCTGGGGAAGAGCACGTATTGTGCTTCCAGATGATGTCCTTACACACCGAGCTCTGTTTGTAAAATGCTTAGAAACTATATGGACACTATTGGAGCAGCTTAGATCAAAGAATTAAGCCCTTGAGCTTCTAAGCATGAGTTCAGAAAGAGAGTTACTGCCTTTGTTGTGAACACTGGTGTTTTGGATGCCTGTGGTTTTGTAACAATGCCTTAAAAAGCATGAGAGAATTAAGCACGGTCTCAGGAGGGATATCCAACACTTCTCTCAAACAGCGAAGATGTCACATACCTTCTTAATGTCCCCACTGAACTGTCAAAATACCAACTTGGAAAAAACACATCCGGGTAAAGGTGACTGCATCGGCATCCTGACTGGGCTAAGAAACAGCAGAGCAGTGTGGGACCACCTGTGTGCCCATCAACAGAACCGTGCTCTGTTTACCTTACACTTCATTCTGCCTGTGTAGGAGAAGAGGAAAACTTTTTTCTTAGCTGCGCTAGGCATTAGGTATGGAACAGCAATACTCAATGACATCTTCATGCAGGAGAGTTTGGATTTGTAGCCCTGAAAAAGCTGGGATTCGTATGTTCTGTAATCACCTCGTATTCTAGCTTACCATAATAATTTTTTGTCCGTAAGAAGGCTGAATGCTGCAGCAGAGCAGTGTAATGCAAAGTTAGCTTCTTTTTAGCATTGCTAAAGGTCTGGTGTGTGCTGACAGAGCAGGAAGTGTCCCAGTACCTCTGGCTGGTGGCAGTACAGCTCAGTGGGAATTGCTGTCAGCTGGAGAAGCCTCCTGTGTGACTGCAGCAGCCGTGGTGCTTCAGCTTAGTGCATGAGAGCAAATTCTTGGTAGTCCAGAAGCAAGGTATTGAGGCAGCTATGTCATAAACAGCAAATATAGTAAAACCGAGTGTTACATGTAGATAAAACTATTGGAAAAGCCAAATGAAACCACGGAAGAGCCTTTTTGCAAGAGATCAGTCCAGAGGCTAAATGGTTTCACTCTGTGTTGCTGCTGGCATCCATTCACATCGAGAGTCACCAGTGCTGGATTGTCATTACAGCACAACTGTACTGGGTTGCATCCAAATGCTCCTGCCCCTAGAAATATCAAACAGACTGTACATTCTGGGTCAGAGCAGTTTCCTGGACTGCTAGTTGGTTAGAGGACACGCTGATAAACCAGCTCAGTTCCTCTACTTGCCTTGGAAGGATCTCTGAGTCAAACCAGTCATCCAGAAACTGAGAGCAAAGCACCGTATCTCTTTCTACACCTAAAAATGAGCAGGGATATATTTATTTCAGCTGGTTCCTTGGGAATACTTACTTTGCTCTTCTCAGGAAGGAGCTGCAGAAGGGGAACATGAAGGAGAGAACGCCATGGAGGAGGATGCACTTGTACCAGGTAAGTTTGGTGTAGCTGACCAGGGAAGATGTTACACATTGAAAAGGCTGCACTGCTAAGATGTTAATTTTATTTTATGTTTCAATTCCTTGGCATCCATTTCATAAAAGAGCAGATTTTAAACTGTTTGGTTCTGGGAGTTTAAGTTTGCCTAAATCAGGATCAAGGATGGAATATAAAACCGCCAGCCCTAAAGAGAATGAGAAAGACCAAGTGTTGACAATGAGCCAGGTGGGGATAACGCTGGATGCCAGGGTGGAGAACAAATGCAGATCAACATTAAGGTTATTTTTTTCTTTTGGAGACTGCTCATGATGTGTAATTTCTTTAAAACAGAATGCAAAAAACATTTGGTAGGGGGTTATTTTAGCATATATGGAAGAGATAAGAATGACTCAGTAAGTCTTTTCTTTGGACTTCATTTTATAGAGTAAACTCCCACTGGAGAAAAAAACAACTCTCATACATTTGTGTTAAAGTTATTACTTTTTAAAAAAATTTATTTTATTTTTATTTAATTACTATTACCAGACCGACTGGGAAAAAATCTGTAAATAATCTTAAAGCAATGGTCTTGTGAGAAATGGACCTCCAGAGTTTGGGATTGTGTTGTTCTAAGTGACAATCCCAAACACACCCACTTTTCCAGATTTAGGTGGTTGGTGAAAGCACACAGTAAGTACCTGCAGCATTCCTGTTTCTTTTAACCACGAGGGACAGAGAGGCTGCATGAATGGACCTGGCTCCGAACGCGTTCTGGAGTCGGCGTTTCTTAACAGGGTGAGCATTAGTTACATCCTTACCTATAACTGAATCCTCTTACACCTTAAAGGAAAAACTATTCTGCTCAAAACCAGGGCAGCTACATAGAACAACAGGAGGTCACTCTGAAATGGATGTTAGAATTGCATTCCATTACTGTGCATTAAAACCAGGTAAAAAGTACTGCAGTAGGTACCCACTACCGTACCTTATTCTCTCATGTTCTACCCAAGAACACTTGAAAAAGGGTTATCGGATCGGTATGTTTTCATTTTTAAAAGAAACAGGAGAGTTACAGTGTGCAAACATACACTCCAGTGTAATTCGATTGATAAACAGCTTAGAGGCGGCCTGTGCTTTGTTGCTGATCTTGTACTATCTTTTTCTGTCCCTAGATGTCCCTGTGCTGGAGGCTCAGCCGCACAGACCTGAGCTGGGTTTTCTGGATGAACTCCACCGGTTCAGGAGTTTTCTGCTCTTTGTTTAAGCTAATGATAACTTTTGTTCCATTTTTTGAGAGCTCGTGCTTGTCGCGCTGGTAGGGACTCGTGTGGCAAGTCTGAGGGCTTCGGTTTCCATTGTAGAATGAGTCGGAGTTCAGAGTCAGCTGCCAACAACAGCGATGCGCAGAATGCAGTTGGCAGAGGTTAAATATTTGGACTTGCAAATGTTTCTCTGCTGCAGGCGCACACACTTTTCTCAGGAGCTGTCTAGGGAGTACGTGTGGAGGAGCTGCATGTTTGGAGTTCAAATGTGTGTTGCTGTAATGGTGAAAGCTACGGTGAAATCAGTGGTACAGAATCCAGTAAACCATTAGCCAGGGCTGGTTACGGGCGCTTCTGCACAGGGCCAGCAGAGTGGTGGCCTTTGTGGATCTTCTAACTTGGTATTCATGTCACTAGCGAAGAATGGGGGTGACCACCTCAGGGATTACAGCAGGTCACAGGTGGCTGGACAAAAAGCAGGAAGCAGAAGGCTTGCAACTTCCACTTTAATAATACATACATCCATCATAAACCAGCTGCCGTTCTGAACTAAAGAGAATCAAGTTTATCTGTTGGAGACTAGTGCGACTTCTGAATCAGTAATGATTTTAAGTGCAACTTAATTTAAAAGCAAGACAAGAAAAAGGGAGATAAAAGCACAGATTCTTGTGTCAAATATTTCTGGAAATAGCATCTTTTATGAAGAGACCGACCCTTGTATATCTATGTGACTACCCATCCTTTTTACATCACTAACCGTGCATGTCCTAAGGAGTGGTGTATTGCAAGATGGAAACACAGGGTTCAAGAAGGCAATGCCATATATCAGAGCTGAGCTGTAAAATTTCATAGGAGGGGCAGGGGGAAAGACAAGAGTCATCAGTCTCTTCAGAAATGAAAGCTATTCGTGACAGTTATCTATACTTATAAAAAAGAATTAATAAAGGTGGAAGTACAATAAGACCAACTTGCCTAAACTTTAAGCAACTCTTCAACTCTATATGTAGTCATAGAAGGGATGCAGAAAGTAGTTATGGTTACTATAAGGCAAATGTAGAAAACAGCTTCTGGCCAAAAAGCAAACTCATGACATCAGGCAGCATTAGCAAATGTCAGCAAGGGCAATGCGTACATCTATTAATAAATCTAACCAGAAGTGAGGCTAGTGCTGGCCTGTTACTGAGAGTCAGAATTATAGCCAGGGAACACCACAAGTCCAGACCAGACCCTCACCTGTGTCGGTTTTGACCTAAAAAAAAACCCAGATAAACAGAAAAGGAAATCTCTGGTCAGGTCCAATCCGATTGTCTCCTTGGAGAACTGAACCAGGCAGCAACCTCCCCACATCATTAACTCTTATTTCTGAGGGACACCAGGATAGATGCTGTAGGAATAGATTGCTTCTTCACTTTGCAAACTGATGTACTAGCAGCTTCTCATAATAAACAGAGATCCTTTAGAAGCTCTGTGGAGCATGCGCTAGGCAGGACACTTTTCATCTCTGTTTCTACCTCCTCCTCCAGCAGGTTGAATATAATACATTTTAAGTTTTATTTTACAGTGCAATTACTTGTTCCAACACATTACATGAGCCAGTCCCAACTTGCATTGGTTAGGTCAGGGAAGGAAGGGGAAGAGGAGTGGAAGTTGATAGCCAGCTTCCTCACAGGTCTTTTGAGACACAACTGTAACTTTTATAGTGATATTTCTTCCTTTGATAACCTCTTGATGCAAAATATGTTTTGGATCTTTAGTTCCATTATGGATTTCTTAAGATATGTAGCATTGAAACTATTAGCAAGTGTCATATGATCATCCTATAATGTAGGCTAAACACTTTGGCATCAGAGAACGTATTACAAAGTTCTCTGCAAAAGCATCTACAGAGCACTAGGCAGAGCTCCATATATTTCTCTGTACAAGATCCCTTAAGCAAGATGTTAAGATGCATTATTTCATACATCAATTTGAAATTGAACCTGTGCAGTCTAAAAGGCACTGACTGAGCATACTGCATATTCCTGCTGGAACTATAGCTTCATTCTCTTTCTGTGAAGAGAGCCCACTCATTTCCTCAGCACTGCAGTATCCAAGTTAGGCTTTAAACAGCAACAAGACCAGATCCTCCAATGGAGCTTCCCATTTTCTACTCTACACTTACAAATAGCTGCTCAGTCTTTCATAGCAGCAAATGAATTCTCCTGCTTCCTATTTTCATAGGGAAATGGGAAAATTGCTCCCTATTTACCTTAATCCTGCACTGAACAGAAGAGGGTTTCATAAATAAGACCAGACTTACTTTGTTTCAGGCTACTTAAAGCTGCTTAGTCCCCCAGAGTGAATAATCACTTTTCTTTAAAGGGGACTTGACACAAGGCAGGTTGCATTTTAAATTACCCAAATTAGCATTATTTAGCATTTAAGTGGTAAAACCTCAGCAGTAAGGTTGTCCTACTTGTATAACAGACCCAACAAATGGACAAAAACCAGTCTGTCTGCTGATACACATGCAGTTTTGTACCATACAGCTGCACGGAGCTAGCTTAGGTACTGAAAACAGCATACTGGATCCAGCATCCCACACAGAGTATTGCGCTAAGAAGTTGTTATGTACATTAGAATAAAATGCAAAGACAGTCAAGTTCCACAGCACCCTGTCTGTGGTGTTCTGCGAAACAACTGTGGCAGGATAATATCAGCCTAAACAAACCACTGTGTCAGTGCAAATACACTGCTTTTGCTAACTCAGATTAGCTCAGACATCTGCAAGCAGCACTTGAAACAGTGCCAACGTTTAAGTTATGGAACTTAAATAACTGTGAGCTTGAAGTTATGCTCTCAGAAGCCATTATCCTTCCGTGGTGGCAGGGAGACTACTGCCATTTCCACATTGAAATGGTTTCACCAGGACAGTTAAGAAGTTTCACAGAATAGAGACACTAACTCATAGCTCGGAGAGCATAACAGGACATGGACACACACACCTTCAAAGTACGATTTCCTTCTGAAGCAAGTAAACTTTAGGTGTGTAGATTTGATCTACCAGTCTTAAATCCTTGAAGGAAACTAGTCTGTGAAGACAAAAATCAGTGGAATTGCCAGTATGCACTAGCCTTTGTCCATGGAATCAGTGTACCAAAGCATGCTTTGCGATTGAGTCTTAGCACATGAACATTTAAAACACAGTAGACGTTCGTGCGCTTGATTGATTCCAGCCTCTGTTCTATGCAGTTTGACACAGGTCAGTTCAAATACCAAACTAGAATTTACTTTACAAATGCAGACTCTATGTATTGCATATTATGTACACAGGAGAAAAGCACTGAAGAAAGCAGAAGGTGACGTAGTAAAGATTCACTGTTAAAGCAGAGGAGAATTCAGGTTCTCCACTTGCTGCCTTGAATCATAGTTAAATGTCCTATATACATCCATCCTATACATCCACCATTTCCCTCACCGTGCAGCTGCACACCTGCAGGAGCAGCACTGGTTTCTGTATACTTACTTGAAAGATGTGTCTGGGGGTGTTTCAAGACCCATCTAAGCCCATTTAAAAAAAAAGGGATTTTTAAATCCCATTGGCACAGATATGAACACTCCTGAAAATCCAGTGTAGTGCACCTAAAGCGTACCAGGGACCTTCTCTTTAAATGGAAGATTCAAGTTCAGCACTTAGAGAGGGCCCCGGCGAAGCCACGGACACACAGCACCACTCTTGCTTGGCATGCTACAGCAGAAACTTTATTCAGTTCATTTGGAAAATATTTGCAACCAAAATTTATTTTTGTAAACTCACAGAAATAAGCTTTAACATAGAGGCTGTTACAACTCAAATACAGGTAATACTTTCAGCAATAACTTACAGATACAAACTAATGATAAACTACAATTTCACAGAGAATTGTAAACATTTTGCACAATTGTCAGTCCTTTCTTTTAGGCAAGGTGCTCTTTTGATGGCAAATAAATTAACACACACATAACTAGAGTGGACTACTTCCAGACAATACAAAAAGGTGTTGAATAAGGCTTGTAAACAATGTAATAGTTATTTATGCAGAATCCATAAAAGTGTCTTGCAGGCTAAATATACTTACATACCTGGGCAGCAAAACTGATCTTGAAAATGCTTTAGATGTTAAATAAAAAGTGAACATTAATATCTTTCCAATGGTACTTTTAATACTCGATAAATGACTTAAGGTTACACCCTTAATAGTTTATATCCCTGACAGAAAGGAGTTAGGTGTGACTTAGTGGCAGTTGTGTCATTGAGTGGGGTAGTAGAGGCTGGAGTCCAAGAGCTGTCGGAGAGTGAGCTACAAAACCAGAAATATTTACTGGTCAGCTTCAGGGGAGGTACAAAAAGATCACAAGCAAGTAATTCCCATTGGGCACAGACAGTCCTCTGGTCCCAAGCACTGCAGTGTGCTCGCTGTGTCCCAGCCCCGCATCCACGCACAGCCGACCTTACACCCCTGCTCTGGAGGGAAATAAGCTCAGGCGACACGTGCAGCTCGGAGCCCAGTTCCCCCCAGACCTTCACAGTCCTTCCTAATCACAAATACAAGCCAAAGCTGTTGACTTGCTGGACCATAAGGACACGCAACAACTGAAACATACTTTTGACCTCTGGGCTACCGCCTCCCCATGCGTCACTGTGAGGGAAGCCAAAGTTTTTGGTGAAGCTGCTGGATTGAGTGTACCTACAGTCCTTGGGGTAAGAGCCAGGGAGTGGGTGGTCTTAAAATTACCTATTATTAGAAACCTGGCAGGGATGCTTAAGAGAAGTGTTTGGTCTCTTATTACTAATATTCATAGGCTGGAAGAAGCACAAGAAATGGTCTTCACACCCAGATCTTTAGCTCTGCTCTTACAGTGAAGGGCCACGGATCGAAGAGGGACACTTCTTAATGAAGTGTAGATACCAACTAGTAATAACATATAGAATCATAGAATGGTTTGGGCTGGAATACGCCTTAAAGATAATCTGGTTCCCAACCCCTGCCACGGGCAGGGACATACTAGGAATTAAAAATCCTTTAAGTTTCCTTAATCAGTACCTGATAAACTGCTCTTGCTGGAGTCACTAATGATTTTACTTGGGTATGTGACGTTGTTGTACCTACCATCCATATAGCTGTGTAGAGCAGTTAACATCGTTCCATCCTGGGGTACGTATGCGGAATACGCCATTTCCTCTAACATGGGTGGAGACAGCCTGGAGGGCTGAACTGCTGTGACAGGAGCAGTAGATGAATGATTAGGACTAACGTGTTTCTTATGCCGTGCTCTGCAATTTTGAAACCACACCTGAAAAGGGGAAAAAATTTACATCATGTTGACAGATGGCATTCTGTTTCAACATTAGCATAATAAAAACACCAGAGTTCTAACTTCAGCTGAACTCGGTTAGTTAATCGGGTCTTTGGCATAACACTGACAGTCCAAATGAAGAAACATCCAGTCAAAGCCTGCAGGGTGCCTCAAATGAGCATGGTCAAACCAGGGAAGCTCCAGCAGTGACCAGCACCCCCAAAGGGCAGGCACAGTGCAGGGCTGCACGGGGCACAGCCAGCGCTGTCCCTCAGCACATGGCTGACCATGCAGTGGCTGTTCACAGGATGAGCTTTCCTCTTTGCCTTGAAAAGTATACAAAATTCCTTTTTTTGCTGCCAGGTACCTTGTTTTTGGCAGCAAAACTGTCAATCTTCCAGGCCAGAACAAGCCGAGGGAACTGCAAATGTATTTTTATATAAACACATAAATGTTTAATTTATACAATATGAAAATTCATAGCTACGCTGAAAGAGCATGCTTATACTGTTTGCTGACAGGCATCGTCAGCATAGATTCGAGGTTTGTCTTTCCCCCTGTTTTGGATGGCATGGGTGTATACTTCAGCTTTGCTTTCTAGAACAGGTCACTCGATACCCACTTGCTCCCGAGTGCCATTTTCTGGGATTGAAGCTCTTAAGAACAGACTATTAAAGTAAAAAAAAATTAAATATCGGTATTTAGAAGACCTTAGTGCAATTTCTTTATCATTTAGGCTGAGAAGTTTCTTCCTGGAAGATTATTAATCCTCTACACAACATGCAAGAGGAATACAAGAAGTTTTCCAAATTCACGTTTATTCTAGACCTATTCCTGACTAAGGATGTTGTCCGACGTTATGTGAAAACTGCCAGATTAGGTCTTTTTCCATCTCAGAGTAACTACATGGGGAAAGTTGTTATTGAGCATTTCCAAAGAATGAGTACCAGCCTTTGTCATTCAGTGTCTTAGCACGGTTACCTGTATAACACGCCTGCTCAAGCCTGTTCTTTCGGCCAGTTTCTGGAGTGTTTGTGCATCTGGATTGTTGTCCTGAGCAAACTGTGCTTGCATAACCTGAAACAGCAAGATAAGAGATGGCAGGTTCGTGTGCGCAGTACTGAGAGCAGCATTAGGGACTCCTCTAAGACCGAGGTCCTACTCCTTGCCTATAATCACTTCTCCCTGACAGTCCCAAATACATTAAGGAAAAAAAAACAATAGAAAATCCCCCCAGTCCCTTTATTCTGCTCAACTGAGCTGCACCGTTTACCAGGAATGGAGTGAATTCTGCTTGGCAGTAGTGAAACATGCAGGGGGTGCTCAGTGAGGGTGGCATTAAAAGGACTGAGAGAAAATTCACTGCAGAGAAATTTGAACGTCCCTGATAATGTCTATAGCTGCAGACCACAGCGCAAGGAAGGGATTTTGATTCACCTCTCTGAACGTGTCAGTCTCTGCTTGCATCGTGTGTTACACGGAACAGCTTAACCCTCTTTGCAGCTGCACAGAGGGTGGACTTGGAAGTTGCTTGTGCTTCCTTCACCTTTAACCAACCCAAGGAACGCAGTGGATCCCCCTCGCCTGCCCTGCGCTATGCGGCTGTTCGATTACACTTCTCTGTTACAGAAAGCTGCTGTCAACCCTTGGCGTTAGGATATGAATGACTTTTTTCTTAGGCAGTAGATGTCACCTTGGCCTCACCCTGAACAGTTTCAGTGCCTGGGAGAGGTAACTTTGTTTAAGGAAATAAGGCCCCATGGGTTTCTGAAAGTTATCTTCAGCAGCTCAGTAAATGGTAGCTTCTCATTTCTGGATTTTGACCCTTGATAGTCTGCAAATTTCACCTGGCTGCTTCTTTGAAGATTCCAACTACTTCTCTCCATTTAGAAACACCAAAACTATTTACTTCCCTACTGTGCCATACAAAGACATTAAAAAGCATGGACATCCTTTGGTACAAGTACTTCATGAGGTGTGTTACTACATGCTGCCACCCTGACAGTTGCTTATCCTTCCGATGCTTCCCTTGCTGGAAGTCTTATACCAGCATCAAAGTCAGGTACAGAGAGATGCACTGAGCAGACAGCAAGTGTCATTAAACAACAAGAGGCCTTGAGAACTCAAAAGAGCCGATGAAGTAGGTCAGAATCTATTTTAAAAACAGGAAAAGGGAGAGAACATGGAAGTTTGAGTGACTGCAGATGGGAAGAAGCTCTGAAAATGGTTCCTATGCTGATGGCTGTGCCTATCTCGCCTTCAGCAACTGCTGGAAAAGAAAGTTTCCTTTTGCAGAGGTTCAAATTTGATGCCCAGACCCCTCGTCAGGTATTGCCAACATGCTTGCTTGCAATAATTCTGTCTCCAGTCACAGCTGAAATGACAAAGCAAGCTTTGAACAGCCACATGCCATGTACTACAGCACCACTTAAATGCCTCACACCTCAACTTTAGTTTTTCTCAAGTGTTTTCACCACAAACAGAAGGAGGACAGGCAAACAAAACAGAGCTCAAACTGAGACAGTAGAAAACAAATGCCATAGCAGCCACATGTGACCAGAAATTCAGATGTGTTATAAGCTGAAAGCAGGGATGTGTAGCTAGGATTAGGTAGAGAACAGCTTCCTTCCCACTGCAGGCTGAAACCTCTAAATCTGGTCTCACCAGTACCCCTGTCATGGGGAGCTGGCTCTAGTCATGCTGGTTTTCCCTAGAAAGCTCATTTAAGTGAAGCGGTGATCCAGAGGGTGAAATAACTCATGTCTGCAGCAGTCCAGAGCTAACTCCTGCCAAGGGAGCAACAAGACAAGAAGCCTTGAAAGCAGAGCATTACAACAAAATCCAGCCTTCCACCCTGTTAACATCCTGAAGTCATGCACAGAGCCCATCCTCAGTACGGCTTTTTGCATTATAGAATTCTAAAAATATTTTGTCTTTATCATATGCAGCCACGTAAATGCCTGATCAAATAGATTTCATCAAGCAATCAAAACAGAACCACCTTTTTGTTTCCACTCTCCAGAATTACTGGCTGCCCCCAGGCAAATAAAAAGTTTGAAGAGTAACTATTTCATATTAAACTACTGAAGCTAACAAACAATTCCAGAAACATGCTGTGTCTTGATAGTTTATGAAAGAGTTTAAAGCATGCAAGTTCCACACCACACACACACACACACACCCCCCATATGCATCTGATTTCCTATCGGTTCAGCACCTATGTCCTGCAGAAACCTAAGCTACGCAAGCCCTTAGCACTGCCTCTACCTGGAGCTGATCTGCTGTGAAGCTGGTCCGAGCTCTTTTTGCTGGTTTTGGATGATTCACATCTTGTTCTGTTAGTAGTGCTCCTTCCACACTAATCCCATTACCTGGAACGTTAAAAGGAAAACACCACTGTCTGCTAAACGTTCAAAGCAACGTTATTTGCAACTCAGACTGTTCTGCAATGACAGCACTTGGCCAGCTGAACTTCAGCTTTAAAAAAGCCATATTCTGTTCAGAGTTAAATTGGTCTGGCACCATTACCGCCCAAAGCACTCCCTTCCAAGTGAGGAAAGATCCAGCACGATACTTTATCGGGTAGATACACTCTTGCTTTCTTTTCCTTAGGATAGAAAACAAGTTACACAACTAACAAAAAAATAACAAATTTTTAAAAATTAAAACATCAAATAACTTGCACATTATTTTAATTCAAGAACCTGCGCTTCCAGCCTCAGCAAAGGCAGGTAATTACCTCTTCATAAGGAAGATGAAGTGAACCCCAACAGTTTAATTAAAGCTGAACCACAAACACAGTTCTTAACAGAAGCAGCATGTTACCATTTTCGACTTCTCTTTTCAGGTTGTCCAACATGCAGTCGTAATGTACTCTGCACAGGACTTTCTCCTCGACCAAAGCAAACTCCTCTCCTGTAGAAAGCTGCCTCTTGCAGGAGAAGCAGGCGAAGCACGCCAAGTGGTAGACATTCCCTTTAGCCCTGCGGACCCAGTCAGTAGCATGGATGTGCCTCCCGCAGCGGGAGCAGCGGGTCCCGTACCGCCTGGAAAACAGAGGCCACCACAAGGTGAAGGCAAAGACACCGACTGTGCAGGCAGGAAGGATGCTCTGGGAGGACGACCTGGATGTGGCAGCACAGCTGAGACCCACAGCGGGCAGGCTGGCCACGAGGATGGGGGACACTGTAGTTGTGTCTTACCTGGGCAACAAAAGTAAATCCATGAGTTTGATCCGATTGCTTAAGGCAAGACCATACTGAACTACAGAAGTTAATATTTTCATAAGCCAAGAGGAAAACAGAACCATCATAAACTTTTACGTGAATTCACAAGTCTTCACCCTTCCTTTTGTAACTGCTCTTTTAAGAGCTGTGAGTGGGAGATGGAAGCAGCTGACACTGTGTTCAAAAGTCTCCCAATTATTCAAGTACATTTCACATTGCTCTAGTGGTAATCTGAATTGTTATATTTAGCTACACCATCCCTCACTAATCAGCCAGTCCCCTTCAGCGGAAGGGGAAAAACCAGTATCTTCACAGTTATTTCCTTAATTACCACCACATTATTATTTTCAAGGAAATTCAAATATCTGTAAGGATTTACATTACTACAGTAGATTATTTCTCTTTGAAGAGGAAACCATCAGCCAAGGGATGTTGATTATTTAGATAAGAATTTGTCCTTATGAGTCTGCAAAAATTTTCTTTGCCTTTCCAGTCGGCAACATTCAGCCTGCCCCCTCCCTCTCCTTCAGCGGCAAAACTGACAAGATGAACACAGTCCTTTCATCACACAGGTGAGGATCCCATAAACACATTGGTACCACTGATCACACCAAAATCAACAGCACTTTGTTTTGCTTTCTGGACTGAAGATTTTTGTATCACAAGTACTTCCAATGCAACACAAATAAGTACTATCCTCCCTTACAGGATTAGACCTTAATTGTGAAGAACGCCTTATTTTCCAAATCAAATGGATCGCAAAGGTATAACTGCTGAAAGCTCCTGTTAAAGATCATGGGATTTATTCTGGGTTGTTTTTGTAGTTTCAGGGGATACCCTGAGTCTCATACCAGCAAAGTGCTAGTCTAGGCAGAATATCATCTCAACTATGCCTCATATTCTCCGTCAGTATTACCAAAGGATGATTCTTCACACACACAATAACTTTACAATTTACTATGGCTTGAACTCCGATTCCCTGCCCATGACTGTACAAATGCAGTAGCTGTGCGTAACAGTGGATGGGTAGAGGGGGAGACTTCATAGGCCACTGCATTAGACAGACTTGGGGTCTCCCAGGTCCCTCTGCAAGGAATGACAGTTTAACTACTGAGAATAAACCTAAAAGGGACAACCCAAAGGGCCTCAATGTGCGTTTTAGTTGCAGCTTAAGCAAAAAAATAATGAGCAAGCATAATGTGTTACCGAGTAAAATGATAATCCTGTGTGGCATACCTGAAATAGTCGAGTTTGCAGAAGATATCTTTATCTTTGATGTAGCAGCTCGTGTGCCTTCCTAGGGACGTCCTGCAGACGCTGCAGGAGAGGCAGCGCACATGCCAGCAAAGGTCATTCACCTGCAAAACAGAACAATCCCCTCCAGGTCGGTGCTGCCAACCTTGGGTATCAGCGTCACAACCTGGTTTTCCACCTGTACTGACAAGGCCGAAACAGTCACATGTGCCATGAGTCACAGGACATTACTCTTCAATGCAAAGCATCTTCTTCATAGCAGAGTTTGTGCACTGAAGGGTAACTGATGTGATTGGGTATTCCGAATAAGCTTTCATGGTTTTGCAATTAAAAGCGACAGAAGAGAAAGCAAGAGATCAGAGTTCCACGAAGGCATTGTGTACCCAGTACTGCTTTCATAGCATTGGAGTAACAGAGCAACTCTTGGCCTCACATGACCTCAGGAAGGCAGTGAACTCACATACTTCTATTTTCCAGCCTGTCAAAGTCCTGCTGAACAAAGAGCAAACATTGCAGAGGGATCTGAAACTTTAAAATACTAGTATTGAAGGGCAGTGTGTGTTTGGGGGCTAAGTCTGCCAAAGGGAAACGCACCACAGCCACATCTTCATTTGCCAGGTTTCTGTTAAAGCAAAGTGAGTAAACGAAGCCAGTCTCAAAATACCAGCAGATGCTTTAACAGCAAGTTCAACAGTTCTTTATCATCGATATCTACAAAACTGGACACAGCCCTGGGAAGCAGCACGAATCAGCAGATGTGAAAGCTCACATTTATTTTTTTTTGGTAAATAAATTATGTGCATTTACTTTAATTTTTCTTTTCCCATGAAGAGAACTCTTGGTCCTGCAGACGCTGTGCTTCACACATCAGCTAAATAACTTAAATCATTTGAGAATCTGAGACTCCCAGTGACCACAGAAATTAAGTAACAGCCCTCTGGATAATCCCATTCTGCAAATTCTCTAAGCCAAACAATGACTAAGTCAGATTTATTTTTTTTATTTTCTGAGCCAATTTCTGGTCTCACACCAAACAGCCCATAGATTGCCTAGGGCAAAGCAGCAGATTTGAGATAATCCAGGATGTGCCTTTCATCAGACCCTGCCAGACAAATCACAGCGAAAGCTCGGCCCTGACTCCAGCACTTGCGCTGGAGTCGCTCGTTTCAGTCCTTCTCCAGGTTGTAACGTTATGTTTTGCAGTTGCCCAACTCTCTCCCTCACTGGCAACGTCTCCCCGTGTGCTGACAGATTTACACTGCGCTATAATGTGAAGCTGTTGACAGCGGCTCTCACCAAACCCATCCTCCCAGAGGAGCTGCTCCGAGGCTGGCCCCTGGCAGCTTCACCAGCCAGGCCGGGCCTGCTCCCCCTTCGCATGCAGCGGCTCCAACCAGGACCGAGGGCCCATGCCAGGAACCCCAGTGCAGCACAAGACACCCAGGCACAGAGAACTCATCTCACTGCCTCTCCTCCGGAGGTCAGCACTCTTCTACAGAGCAGGACGTCAGCTGTCCCCTCTGCCATCACCATCTACATTCTCCGATTAATTTACAAAGTTGGAAGATGCACTCTGATGGTCAGCAGGAAACCACCAGCACCGACAGCTTTCCTTCTCTGCCCATGGAAGCACTAACAGCTAGTTCAAACTTCAGGCTAAATCCTTCAGGCCTTTTGCTCCAAGCAACGTCTGCAGTTGTTCACTCAGGTGACATCAGACAGACAAACGAGCTCCTGGCATGTCACAGGAATGAAAAGGCTGGAAGGGAGCTGGGGTGAGCTCCACTGCACCACCCCCCCCCCTTGCAGAGGTGGCTGGGATTGACCAAGAGGCACCAAGCAGTACCCCACACCTGCACCCACCGGGTTTTAAATGAGCACCAACCTGCATATGCCTTTCTTTGACCTCCTCACCCTAAGCAAAAGGTCTAATAACAACATCGGGGTGTTTTCAACGGTGATAACGACTTTCATTTTGCAAGATATACAACGGCTTTACTCAAGGCTGCACCTAATAGAACGAAGCGACTTCCAGCAGTTTGCCTGATCTCACTTTTGAAAATGAGATGGCAAAAATCCGATCCAGGATAATTTTAATGGCTGTAGAACAGGAGGAAAATAGCCCCCTCTCATCTACATTGACACAGCTTATTTAAAGTCACATGGTTTTGCTTGGTTTTAAATTATCTTAGTCCCGAATGCTAAAGCTGGCAAAACTACTCTGCAGTCACACAGCTTGCTTCCTTTTCACAGAAATTACTAAACTATCTTTTTACTTCTACGTTTCTCAACGGTCAGTCTGTTGGTCTGAGCTTCAGCACACCACACTGGCGAGTTTATTTTAGCTAATACCAAACAGGTCGCGCGGTCACCGCTTCACCAGGAGCGTTAAGGCACGGCCGAGAAGCTACCCCTGCTCTCACCCACCGCTTTTCTCCCCGCTCTCCCCTACGGCACGTCAAGAAAACACAGTCCCGCACCGAAGAACGTTACCCGAGGGCTGCGCAGAGACCTGGCTCTGCCCCAAGGCCCGAATCCCGCCGGCGAACGTGCGACCGGGCTCGCCGTCAGACCCTCTCCAGTGGAACGGGCCGTCCCAGGAGGGGAGAACAGCGAGGCCCGGCGGCACCGGGGCTCGGACCGCGGGCCGAGAGCAGGCAAACGTCCGCGGGGCTCCCGGGCCGGGCGGCGCCGTGCGAGCGGCAGGGCCGCCGGGTCACGTCGGTGAGGAAACGGTGTCAGAGCCGCCCGCTCAGCGCTTACCTTGAGCAGGTACTTGTCCACGATCTCCAGACCACAGCTGCTGCACACGCACTTGCTGGGGACACAGCCGGAGCCCGAGGCCATAGACTGCGGCGAGGAGGAGGGCGAGAGGGCGGTGGAGGAAGAGCAGGAGTCCTCGTCGGCCACTGCGGGGCTCGCCTGCGGAAAACCGCGGTCAGCGCCCAGGCGAGGCGGGAGCCCCGCGCCGGTACCTGCGGGGCCCCGCCGGGGTGGGAACGCGGTGGGAACCGGAGCTTCTCCGCGGGGCCATGGCCCCATCCCGGGCACCGGCCCCGCGCTCCCCTCGCGCCGCCACCACGCACCTTCTCCGCGGGGCCGCCGAGCGCGGGCAGGTCCTTGTCCTCCAGCCTGCAGACGAACATCGGGTCGCTCTTCCAATACATGGCACGGCCCTACCGCATTCCAGCCCCGCGGCGGCCCCGGGACCCCGCGCCCGGGCTCTGCTCTCAGCGCCTGCCGGAAAAAAAGTTTTGTTTCAAGGGGGAGGGCCCGGCGGCGCGGACCTGCCTGCTCTGGCCTCACCTCCTGCGCTAAACCCGCCTTCAGCGCGGCGGGACCACGCCGGCCTTCGGGCGGGGTGGGGGGCGGCGGCGGCAACGAAAAAACCCAGAGGACACCCCCCCAGTCCCCCTGTTTGTCTTCATCCTCTGCCACCGCTCCCCCCAAACGCAGACTCGCGTTACAGCGCTCTGCTAGCGGAGGAGGCTAACCCGGCGGGGAGCAGAGAGAGCGTCAACGGGAAAAGTTTTTCCATCTTGCAAAGCTCCAAAGCCCGAGCGTTTCCCGGTAGCTTTAAACTCACATCTCCTAAACCTGCCGCCCGCGCCTCTCGGGTCCCTCCATAAAACCTCCCTCGTTACCTCAAACAGGGAGCACCTGAGTTGCAGGAGGCCGGGCTCACGCCCCAGGACCGCGGGTGTTGCTCGCCAACTCCCGCGCCCTCGGTCCCGCCGCGGACAGTAGGTGTCGGCAGCTCCCAGAGCACGGAACCGGCCCGTCGGCGGTCCTGGGCTTTGTACGTGACAAACCTTCCCCGCAGCCCCGCTCAGCCCGAGCACCGCTCCTGCTCTCGGGACATGTCGGGAGAACAAAGCAGCCGCAGCCCTGCCGGGCGCAGGTGAGGTGAATAACGCGGTGTCTGCGTCTCGGCACGTATTTAACCAGCCAGGTGGCTTTAATTAAACTTGTGTTTCCATCTTCCCCCGTCTTTGTTTCAGCTCCGCCTGACGATCTATGGGAGACATGCTGCAGAGCCCCAGTAAGCAGAGAGACTTGCCGTGCGCTGAGATAGGTTTGGTGAAGGGGATTCCGCTGCTGGTAAGCGGTGTGAAAGGAGAAACCCCGTGTTCTTTCTTCCCCCCCCCCCCCCCCCCGGAACTGTCTTTTCAAATCCTAGGGCGCGATCATGTAGGACCGTAACTGAGTGGCGGTCCGGAATGTCCCCGTTTGTCCAGCACTAGAACGGACCTAATCCCGGACAGAATTCCCCTTTAATTTAGCCCTAATGTCCCCAACAGCAGCCGCTACAGCGAGGCGAGCAGCGGTTTGGGGTTTTCGATCGTGACAAGACTCAGAGCAGTGCGACCTGCACGGCCCGGCGGGGGAAGTGGGGCTGCGGCCGAGCACCGAGCGTTTGCGGGACTCCACCGCTCTCGCTCTGGCCCGGAGGCAGCTTTTGGGCTTCTCCACGTCCTGTCCTTTCCCCTTCCCCTCTTCCTCGACGGCAGCGAGGCCGGAGCAGCCCCGTGCCGCGACGTCCCGCAGATCCCCGGCCCGCCCGCCCCGCTGCGCTGCGCCCAGACGTAAACACCCTCCAGGACACTAGCTCCCGGCCCGGTGCCGCGTCCAGCACGGAGCCCGCGGAGCTGCCCCGGCGCGACCGCCCCTCTTTGAGCACCGAGGTACGACGCGGGAGCTACTGCCTGCCCCGGCGGCGGGCGGAAAACGAGCACCTGGGCGGAAGGTAGGGGAGAGGTCCGAAAGGTGCTGCCGAGAAGGGAACGGGCCAGACCCGCCGAGGAGAGCCCACGGTAAGCTCGGGGTGCGACTAGGCTGTTGCAGCAGCGTCGGGTTTCTTGGTCGTCGGCTCTTTTTCCACGCTGTCAGCGAGAAGAGGGTGTCGGTGCGCACTACACGGAGGGGTGCGATTTAGATTCCTGTAAAATATCTCCCTGTCGGTGTGCGAGCATCTTCGGTCTCGAAAAGTGGGAGCCGGCCCTGGCGGTCCACGCGTCGCTCCCCACGGAGGCTGCGAGCAAGTAGCGGTAGCTCATAAGCGGTGATGGGGGCCGGTCCGTGGTGCGCACCCCTTCTGAGACTGGCTCCGAGGCGTGTTCGTCCGGGGGGTGCTCGGAGCTGGTCAGACGACAGAGCCCGGTCACTGAAGCGGCCCAGAGCAGTTTCGCGAGAGGTGAGCAGTTTCGCAGAGCTTGTTGGAGGGAGCCGTTATTCCCTAAACAAGGTCAGAATAGCGATAGTATGTGCAGGGTGGACGTGGAAAGGGCATGGGCTTGGTTATCCGGGCTCATCCCGCGTGTGATTTACCATCTCTCTCCCACGTCCGGTCTGAATTTCATCGTTTCACTTGGACATCCTCGATGTTTGTGTTTTTATTTAGGAGATGAAGACATGCAGGCTTTAGGGAGTTCCCGATTTCTGCGGTCTCTCCTCTCCCCGCGGCTCCGGTGCTGCTCCTGTCCCGCCGCTCCTCGCCTCGCGGTTCTCGGCATAAAGAGAAGGGAGGGGACGGGAACCTGCCGAGGGAGCAGGGAGCTCCCGGACACTTCTGTCGAGGCTGGGAGCGGAGAGAGGGACTCCCGCGGGACCCGCCGACGGTGTAGGGGGGTGGGATAGACTGTACACTGCGGCTGGTTGTGTATCCTCTCCCTCGCAAGTAATGAGGACGTGTGTGTGTGCATGTGGGAGTGCTAATGAGCTGGCACGTAGGAGAGGCAAATATCTGACGGTAAGGCGCGGCACGAAGGAAACGGTGGACTCGGACAGTGAGGGTTGCTTTAACGAGAGGGTGTTGGCCTGTGGACCGCTTCATCAGAGACCGCACCGCGAGTGCGTGCGGCCGATGCCCCTCTCTGGAGCTTGCTCTAATGAAACTGGTTCTCCCGTTAAAACAATCTGCTGTGAAATTAAAAACGGCACCGTGGTAAGCCCACGGAAACGAGCACTGGGCCGTGGTGAGTCGGGCCGCCGTCCCCGGCTGGTACCGTCGGACACGGCTGTAGCCGCCGTTCGCAGCCCCGTGGCCTTCCCTCCGCCGTGCCCTGCCCGGTGAGCCCTCTCCGCGACGCTCCTGGGGCCGTGATTTCGGCGGGACAATCCCCGCTGGTGTCCCAGTGCCCGCCTCGCCTTCCCCAGCCTCACCTCCGGCTCATCGGCCTCCGCGCTCCCCAGCGGGGCTGGGGCGAGGCGGGGTGAGGAAGGCTGCCCCGGCCCCCATCTTCCCCTTTGGGTAGCCGCGGGACCAGCAGCGGTCTGGCAGAAGCCGCGGAGCGGAGAGCAGGGTCCCGCAGCCGCTGCGGGATGGAGCTCGGCTCCCCGCCCCTGGCTCAGCAGCTTCGCCCGCGTACTGTGGTATTCGCACACCTGCCAGCATCCAGAGGTTTTCCAGCTGTGGACCGCAACGTCCCGGACGGGGCTGCGGATGGGTTGCGCTCGGTGCGCTGCGGCAGGCGGGTGAGGAGATCCCGCCAGCTCTCTCTGTGAGTCCGCATCCGCACCGGCTCCAGGGACTGGGGAAAGCGGCAGGGCCTGCGCTAGCCCCGACTCCGAGGTTAGGGGCTGATTTAACGAGTGAACGAACCCGTCTCTTACCAATGACTTGTTTTCCGAATCAGTGCAGCAAACTTTCCGCTGGCCAGGCTGTCTGCCGCCGGTTTAGGGGTCCGGGATCTCCCAAAGCTACGCGCATGTGGCTTCCGTTGGTGGCTGGTCCAGTGAGGAGCTCCGTGTTGTTTAATTGGGGGTGACCGATCACTCAGAGGGAGAAATTTCTATTTCCTAACCGGATTCCCGAGCAGCGGTTCCCTCACCAGCAGCCAGAGCTCGAGGCGATTTGCCGTTTTCTTTTTCCCTTTTTTTTTTTCCCTACAGGAAAACCCCCGGGGCCTGTGGGGGGCGGGGAGCAGAGAACAAGAAGGGGGTTAGTGGGATGTAGCCCTGCATCTTTTTAGAGCACTTTCTCCCTTGCACTGCGGGAGAAAGTTCAGGAGTAATTTCGGCACCCCAGTGTGTAACTGCAATAATTTCTCATCATTTTCTCAGATCCACTTATTTCACCTCTCGGTCCCTGCACTAGGAGCAGACTATCTGGGTGAAGTCTCTGAGTGTTCGGGTTAAGCTGATGTGCTCCTGAGATCGCGGTGAACGCTTTACCTAGAAGTTGACTTTTTAAGACTCCGTGCTGGTTGTGTCTCGCCGTCATTCAGCCAGAGAAAGTGCTGGGGACGGAGGAAATTAAAGCAGCGATCGTATTATAAAAACCAGCATTTTGCCCTTAACGTTCTAGAGAGCAAACCCAAAATGGAAACCATCGTGAGTTGTTTATAAATACAGGGCTACAAAGCTCGCTGCATGTTTTCAGTTGTGAGGATGTTCTGTTCTCCGTGAGCACGGTAAAAGGGCCTGAAAGGTTCCCCTGAGCTATCGTATCTGCCCGCCTAATTCCTTTCACTTCTGTTTATGCGATGAATAAACACTGTTCTGGCAGGAGAATGGGCCTGTCGGATGGAAACGTGTGTGCGGCAGGAGGAGGGGGCCCGATGGGGCCGCGGGAGCTCGGAAGGTTTTCAGCTCCGACGGGGACCGGGATCCCACTGGGGGGAAGTGCCGCGGGACCCACCACCTCCCTCCCGGGGGAAGCAGCCGGGCGGCTCCCCATGGAGCGTTATCTGCACCCCACCCGCAGGCCGCCCGGCTGCCCCGGTCCCGCTCTGCCGGGGCAGGGCATCCCCGGCTGCCGGGCGCTCCGGCTTTTGCTGCGGCTCTCCCCGCAGGACGCGGCGAGGCCCGGAGGCCGCTCCGCTCCGGGACCCTGGGCAGGTGCTGTGGAAACCCTCAACTCTCCCGGCTCCCCGCACAGAGCCTGCTTCGCGGGTATGGCCGCGGTCACCGTGTCCGCGGTGCTGCTCACACCCTCCGCGCCGCGCCGTCTGCCTGGCACCGGGAGCGGTTCGACGGGCGGCTCGGGCATCCACCGCCGGGGGCTGTGCGGGGACCCCCCGCAGGCTCTGCTCCGACCGGCGGGGTCTCTCACCGTTCCGACCGGTGGACGCCCTGCCCCTCGCCTCGCTGGTGATCCCCCCCCACCCCGGAGGGAGCGGGGTCCGAGCTGTCACCCGACCCGGGGCAAATGCAAATGACGGGCAGCAGACGGGGTCACTCCGGGCCGTGCCGCAGCTCCTGGGTTAGGGTCGCGCCTCCGAAAGCCCAGCACAACCCGCCTGGAGCAGGCGCAGGAAGTCACCTCTTCCGACGGATGCAAACTGCCCTCCACCCCCCAGCAGAGCAAATGCTTTCCAGAGAAAAGTCATATTCACTACCTGGAGATCAAATCCCGCCTCTTTCCACCGCCCGAGGCCACGCTCTGGGTGCAGGATCTGCTCCTCGGTCCTGTCTTCTCACACAGAAATCACGCGCTGAGTCCACCTCAGCCTTTGAAACGCGCTTGCTTCTGCTTGAAATGTGTTCAGGGGTTTTTAAGTGGCCGGGTTGCGGGGTTTCAACCTCAGACACGTTCAGGGGACTTAAGTAGTGCTGAGCTCAGTGAAAATTGGGAATCGAGGAGGTGTGCAACCTCTGGCACTTGAATACCTCTGTCTCCCTAAGCACTAGTCACTGGTGAACGTTTTGGCTGTTACAGAGATAGGGATGACTTTGGCTGACACTTCTCAGAGGCAGACTGAGTGCTTCATCACATGCTCAGCGGTGGGACGTTCTTTTGGTGTAGCAGAAAGAGGACTGTTCTTTGCAGTGTGAATTAAAGGGCAGATTCAACCTGGTTTAAGACGTGAGCTTCCAAACACTTCCCCAGCTGATGAATGACTTTGCGTGCTGATGCCATGTTATGTGTATTAAAATGAGAATGTCTGTTAAAACAGTGCTCCCTGCCTGGAGATGTTTTTGTTCATAGGTGGACAAGTTGGGGAAGGGAGCTTATGAGAAAAGGTGATTTGCTCATACCCAGACCTGAAAATGCCAGAAACAGGTCTGCTGCTCACAGGTTACAGTTGCCAAAATGTTTGCAT